AGGTGCGCTCGCGTCAACATCTGACATCCTACCCCTCCCTCCCATCCCTTACCATGGCGCTGATTTTCTCTATCCGCGGACGCGTGTCGTAGCGGACCTGTGGCTCCGCGCGCGTGTGCGTAGTGGGTGGTGGTGCGCGTGCGTGCGTGCGTGTGTGCGTGGTTGTGGTTGTTGTGGTGGTGGTGTGTATGTGTGTGTGTGTGTGCGTGTGTGCGCGTGTGCTGTGGTGTGACGTGGTGTGGCGTCTTGGTGGTTTGGTGGTGGGCCAGGTGCGTACTTGCGTGATGGCGGTGGTGGTGGTGGCGGTGGTTGGTGTGTGTGTGTGTGTGTGTGTGTGTGTGTGTGTGTGTGTGTGTGTGTGTGTGTGTGTGTGTGTGTGTGTGTGTGTGTGTGTGTGTGTGTGTGTGTGTGCGTGCGTGCGTGCGTGCGTGCGTGCGTGAGTGCGTGCGTGCGTGCGTGCGTGCGTGCGTGCGTGCGTGCGTGTGTGTCTGTGTGTGCGCGCGTGTGATGTGGTGTGACGCGGTGTAGCGTGGTGGTGGTGGGTGGGGTAGTGCGGTGGTGGTGGCGGTGCGCGGTGGTGGTGCGCGTGCGTGCGTGCGTGCGTTGGTGGGTGGAAGTGGCGGTGGGTGTGCGTGCGGCGGGGCGGGACGTGGTGCGGCGCGGTGGTGGCGGGCGGATGGGCGCGCAAGAAAGAGGCCCGCGCTGGGGCGAGAACGCCATCCTGAACGACGGAGGCAAACACCGATCCGAAAATGAGGCCCGCGCTGCAGCGGGAACACGATTCGGAGCGATTCGGGAGCAGAAATGAGGCCGGCTCCTCAGCGAGAGCAGCATTTTGGAACAAAACGCAAGCGAAAACCAGTTTCCCGGGGATCCGGTGTAAAAACAATACGCGGGGGGGTGTCGGATATCTTCGGGACGCCATCAGGGGAAGTGGGAGAGTATTTTCATATTGTGTAATTGTGGAGGGGGGGGGGGGGGGGGGGGCGAGGAGAGGAGGAGGAGGACGAGGAGGAGGAGGAGGAGGAGGAGGAGGAGGAGGTAGGAAGTAAGGAACAGGATAACGAGGAGGAGGAGGAGGAAGAGGAGGAGGAGGAGGTCGAGGAGGACAAGGATGAGGGTGAGGAGAAGGAGGAGGCAAAGTGAATGACGGGACGAGGGCTTCCGCCAGGGCGATGGGGAAAAGGCGAGGGGCAAGCTAAACATATTCTCGTGTGGGTTTTATTGTCGGAGTAATGTGCGCTCGTTTCGGAGTCCTTTCCAGGCAGGGGGACGAAGGAAGAGAGGAAACGTGCGAGAGGGGCACGCGCTCACTTGAAGCAGTGCGTCACCTTGCAAATGCGAATTCACTGAACATTTCGATCGCGAGATGCACAAGTACGCGCGCAATCGATGTCGTCCTCCTGCTCCTCTTCTAGCTTCCTCGGGCGATGACCGCGCACCCGGGCATTGCCATGACGGAGACGGGTCTTGCCGGAAACGGCTCCTGGACCCCAGGGCTTTCCCCCTTGGACCAGCTTTCCGTCCTGAGCCGTGCATTGACGGTCTTGGGGGCCCGTGGAGGGCCCCTATGGGCCCGAAGCTGTGGGCAAAACTCCACGACCCTCTCCTCCGTGCCAGCCAAAAGGCCTTGGGGAAACTTTGAGTGCGTCCTCTCGGCAGTAAGAGATCGTTTTTCTTGGGTTCCGCCGGTGAACAGGGTTATCGGGCCCGCCCCCCCCCCGGATAACCTGACCTTGTGGGTTGCGCAGGTCCGATGGGGGTACGGTACGACGCAGTATTGGTGCGCGTGAGCATACGGCGACAAGGCTAGGTTATCCCGAGCTGTTCTGGGGTTGTCCAGGGCGAAAAGGACAGGTTATCGGCAAGCACCCCCCCCCCACCCTCCCCCGTGGGATAACCCGTGCTTGCGCCGAAGAATCACAAGCGATGTCCAATCAGAAGGCCTTGGGGGAGCTCTGAGTGCGTCCTCGCCGCGGATTCGCGAGGCGCCCCCCTCCCCCCCCCCGCAGGAGCTGAAGGCGGCCTACCGCCGCGCCGCCCTCCGCACCCACCCGGACGTGGCCCCGCCCGGCGCCGGGGCGAGAGGCGCCGCGGAGCAGTTCAGGCGCGGCGGAGGTGGAGGAGGACGAGGTAGGGGAGGAGGAGGAGGAGGACGAGATAGGGGAGGAGGAGGAGGAGGAGGAGGACGAGATAGGAGGAGGAGGAGGAGGAGGAGGAGGAGGAGGAGGAGGAGGAGGGGGAGGAGGAGGAGGAGGACGAGATAGGGGAGGAGGAGGAGGAGGAGGAGGAGGAGGACGAGATGGATCCTCGGAGTGCAGGGGGCTCCCGCATTCGTGTCGGGCTGGCCGCCGTCGGGCCGCCGCGGTCGCGCGATCGCGGCCGGGAACGCTACGGAGCGCGAGAGAGAGAGAGAGAGAGGAGGGATGGAGAGAGGGGGGTGCGACGACGATGATGATGATGATGATGATGATGATGATGATGATGATGATGATGATGATGATGATGATGATGATGATGATGATGATGATGATGATGATGATGATGATGATGATGATGATGATGATGATGATGATGATGATGATGATGATGATGATGATGATGATGATGATGATGATGATGATGATGATGATGATGATGATGATGATGATGATGCTGATGATGATGATGATGATGATGATTATGATGATGATGATGATGATGATGATGATTATGATGATGATGCTGCTGCTGATGATGATGATGCCGACGATGATGATGATGATGATGCTGATGATGATGATGATGGTGGTCGTGGTGGTGGTGGTGGATGATGATGCTGGTGGTGGTGGTGGATGATGATGATTGTAATGGTGGTAATGATGATGATGATGATGATGATGATGATGATGATGATGATGATGATGATGATGATGATGATGATGATGATGATGATGATGATGATGATTAGGAGGAGGACGACGATGATGATGCTGATGATGCCGATGCAGATGCTAATGCTGATGGTGATAATGCTGATGATGACAATGATGATAATGCTGCTGATGATGATGCTGTGGCTGATGCTGATGAGGATGATGAGAATGATGATGTGGATGAAGCTGATGCTGATGCTGCTGCTGATGATGATGATATGCAAATGATGATGAGGATAACGATGATGGCGATGTCGATGATGCACCCGATATTGATAATGATGATGATGATGATGATGATGATGATGATGATGATGATGATGATGATGACGATGATCATGCTGGTGGTGATGCTGATGATGATAATGACGATGCTGATATTCATGACAGTTCTGATGATGATGCTGATGATGGTGAATCTGATGTATATCATGATTCGGATGTTGCTGCTGCTGCTGCTGCGGATGATGATGAATCTGCTGATGACGATGATGTTGATGACGGTGGTGATGATGGTGATGCTGCTAATCATGATGATGAGGATGCTGTGGATGCTAATGCTGCTGCTGATGACGATGATGATGTTGCTGCTGCTGATGCTGATGCTGATGATGGTGATGGTGATGGTGATGAGGATGATGAAGATGGTGATGATGACGATGCTGAGGATGATGATGACGATGATGACGGTGATGATGCTGATGATGTCGATGACCATGACTATGACGATGATGATGATGATGATGTTAACGATGCTGATGATGATGATGCTTATGATGATGCTGATGATGATGTTGATGCTGATGATGATGTCGACGACTCTGTTGATGATGATGCAGGTGCGGCCGCTGATGTTGATGAGGATGCTGATTTTCTTAACCTTGATGAGTAGTACGATGGTTGTGTTTCGGATGTTGCTGCTGCTCCTGCTGCTGATGGTGATACTGATGATGCTGACGGTCATGCTGATGACGACGATGCTGAGGATGCTGCTGATGCTGATGCTGCTGCTGCTGGTGATGATGCTGCTTCTCCTGCTGATGCTAATGATGATGATCACGATTGTGACGACGATGTTGATGATGCTGCTGCTGATGATGATGCTGACGATGACGATGATGCTGCTGATGTTGAGGTTGGTGGTGATGTGGGGCGTGGTGGTGGTGGTCATGATGATGAAGATGCTGCTAAGGATGATGATGATGATGATGACGATGATGATGATGGTGGTCATGATGATAATGATGCTGCTGCTGCTGCTGATGATGATGATGATGATGATGATGATGATGATGATGATGATGATCATGATGACGATGACGATGACGTTGATGACGATGATGTCGGTGATGATGAGGATGCTGATGATGATAATGCTGCTGATGACGCCGACGACGACGACGATTATGCTGATGCTGATGATGATGGTGGTGGTGGTGGTGGTGATGATGATGATGATGATGCTAACGGTGATGGTGATGAGGATGATGATGAGGAGGAAGGGGAGGCGGAGGTGGAGGAGAGAAGACATTGGGCAGGTACAACTACATTACGACGACATATTTGGCTTCGGATTCCTCTCTGAAGTCTTTTTCAACAGAGCTTTGCATTTAGTTATTTCTGTTTAGTGTGGTCAGCTGCTGGCGGGTATGAGTATATTGGGTGTGCTTCTTGTTCGGGGAATGAAAGGGACGCGAATAGGAGGAAGGAGGAGGAGGGGGTGGAACAATAGTACAGATAACAATGGTGATGCTCGACTTTTGCTGCGAGTTGTCAGTCAAACAAGCGCTTGGCTGAGGGAAGCTTGCAATAATCAGGTATGAGGAGGCGGATGAGAATCCAGGGTCGTGCTCGGACCTCCAGAGCCACTTATCATCTTCCCATCATCCGTCCCCGCCCATCGCTTCTCCCGCCCCCCTCCCCCTCTCCCTTATGCTCCCTCTTGCCCTTCTCCGTCTCGTTCGCCGTCTCCGTCTCCTTCTCCTCATCCCCTGGCAGAGTGAAGAGGAGCGACGATGCATAATGCGTAGTAAAGTTCAGGAGCTGGAAGGTTTAGTAGAGCAGTTTTGGCGGCCAAACCGCCAGCAGTGATACATGTTAAATGTGATAGGTTAGCTGACGGTCTGCGATTTGTCAACAGTGCCGTGCCTCTCATGGCGTTGTGCGGAGCCTCGAGCTGGACACCCACAGCAGATTTGCAGTGCAAAGTGCGCTCCAGTCAGCGTGGTGCCTTTTGAACGATTTTGTAGTCGGGAAGGCAGATGTCAGCGCTTCGAAGAAACTCTGCGAAGTTGTCGACGGAGAGCACACACGACCCGGCAGACTCGATCTCGATGTTGAAGTTATGGCGGGCTGAGCTTTAGCAGCGGTCAAGGCCTTCGGGCGGCTGAACACAGGGGAACACTGCTGCGTGCTGTCACGATGTTGTGGACGTGCGGACATAAGTGCAGAGCTACATCTACATGGCTTGGAGATGGGTTCGATGCGCCCAGATCCTGACCGAAGTGTGAACAGAGGCATACTCCAGAAGGCTTAGAAGGAGACTCCCTCGAAGGCAGCCGGGCTTTTTAGAAGCCTTTTTTGCTCGTGGCCGCCAGCCGCGTCTCACGCCAGAACGCTCATCTGAGTGCCGCCCTGATCCGAGCATCCATCGTTCTCCGAGGCCAGGTCGTCTTGGCTCGGATTTTTACGGCCTGGTCGTCCAGGCACGCAGCGCCGTGGCGAGTCGCCTACCGACCTGTGGTCGCGGGAGGCGGCGGTCAGAACGCTCGAGTGAGAAGCGTTTCGGTCTCGGGGAGGACTGTGGGCTGCCCAGGTCCCTCCTGGGGCCCTTCCCGGGTTTTCTCTCGACGCAGCCCTTGCGATCATGGCCGCGCCGTGGCGCCCGTTCGTTCTGCGACTCCGCGTGTACCACCCTCGATGATGCTGCTGCTGCTGCTGATGATGATGATGATGATGATGATGATGACGACGGTGGTGATGATGTTGTTGCTGCTGATGCGGATGCTGATGCTGATGCGGATGCGAATGCTGCTGATGATTCGGATCATGGTGATCATGATGAGGATGGTGGGGGTGTTGATGATGATGACGATGATGGTGGTGACGGTGGCGGTAATGATGATGCTGTTGATGATGATGACGGATGACGATGACGGAGGAGGGGAGAGAGAAGGAGGAGGAGGAGGAGGAGGAGGAGCGTGCTTGCCTGCTACGTACCTTGTACGAGCGAGATGAACTTCACCAGTCTGCCTGCCTACTTGGAAGTAGTATTCAAACATTGCGTTGCGACACAACACGCCCAGACGCTCATTCGTGAACACCTGCATGCTGTCGCTCCACAGGCGTCGCCTCTGTGCGATCTGGATCCACTCCTGCTCTATAGCTGGCCACGGTAATGGCGGTTTAACTGTCCTTCCCAATGCCAGGGCGCGAATATGCCCTGGTGGCCTTGCTTGTCGCTGGGCCGCTGGACATTCATATGTGAGTCATCTTTTGCCTATTCCGCAGGGGCACTCGGCTAAGGAGCAAGCCCGGTTCGGTTGCACTCCTGCGCGGAAAATGCCCACCGTGCCAATGCAGACGCCGAGTGGCCAGGACATCGAGATCCGCGAGAGCCAGCTGTGACTTAATTTCCTGGATCGCCTGGCTTTGCTTCCTGGAAAAGTGCTCTTCTGTCTTACCTACCAAGGGGGGGGGAGTCTTAGATGTTTTCTGTCTTTGGTTTTGACCGCCGCCCGGAGATTTTGTGCAGAATGCTGGTTTGAGACCCATTCTGGCGAAGCCCAAGAGCCGTATTTTGCGCAATCTTGTGGGTTACAGCGAACCGTTGTGCTTGAGTAGAGGTCCTGGCCCTGAGGATGTGGTGCGCCCTGCCAACCGACGAAGCCACTGGATACGTCTTGCAATTCATATCATAGTCCGTTCGACCAAAAGCATCGACATGTATGCCGACGCACAGGAGGTACTGCTTAAACTTCGAGCCCGTGGTGCCTGGCCAGGTCGCGGCGTTGTTTTCCGGGTTGAGAGATCCAAACCGTTTTGTCCAAGGCTAGTTGATAGCCATGTGCAACGAGTGCCTGCTCTAACATAGCTAGTGCTCCGCTCCTTCCTCCCGCATGCCCGGCCGCTCTTCTGATGACGGCGCGTGGCAAGAAGTCTCGGTGAAGAGGCACGCCCTATGGCGTGGCAGCGGGGTGGGGGACACAGGGCGATAGCCGGCAGAAGAACTGCAGGCTACCTGACTGTGACACCCAACAGCTGCAGGTTGGGGGGCCCTCTGGCGCGCCCAACCCCCTAAACCGACAGGGCGCGAGGAGCCAACCTACGCCCACCGCGGCCAAACAGGCGAGTGGGCGGCGGATGGCGCCCCGAAGATCATGCTAAAAGTGGCGGCGGGGAGGTGGAGGTGCCGAAATGCCTGCGGGTGCTATCACTCCGCACTAGCATCCGGGGCGTATTCATAGTGCTCCGCTCCTTCCTCCCGCATGCCCGGCCGCTCTTCTGATGACGGCGCGTGGCAAGAAGTCTCGGTGAAGAGGCACGCCCTATGGCGTGGCAGCGGGGTGGGGGACACAGGGCGATAGCCGGCAGAAGAACTGCAGGCTACCTGACTGTGACACCCAACAGCTGCAGGTTGGGGGGCCCTCTGGCGCGCCCAACCCCCTAAACCGACAGGGCGCGAGGAGCCAACCTACGCCCACCGCGGCCAAACAGGCGAGTGGGCGGCGGATGGCGCCCCAAGTCTCCCTTTCTACGGAGTCAGAACGGCCTCACAAGGCGGCATCTTGGCGAAGCAGCCCTGCTCTGTAGCGGAGCTGCTGCTGCGTCGCCCGCGGAATCGCCATCTCCGTCAACAGCTGGAGCCCCTCCGTGACGTAGATCCTGGCTGTGGTCTGCGAGCGCCAGCGGCCTAACTCCATCAGAGTTGGCATGTCACGCCGCCTCCGGAAATGCTCTGTGGCGCCACCCCGCCGGATGCTGTACCAGCGGAGGCCAAAATTCAGATTGAGTGCAGCTGCAGCTCTGGCCAGACGGGTCCGGTGGGTAGTGGCCCGCACATCTGACAGGGGCTCAGTGCAACCCCGGTGCTGCATGTAGACGTAAAGGAGTTTGACAGTCCAAGGGTCGAGCAACGGAAGCGACTCCAAGCAGCCGCCACGCGCGCCTCCTTTGCTGTGTGGAAGGACCCACACCCCAGACGTCAAGTCACCAGCAAGTGTGAATTGAGAACGAGTGGCGTTGAAGAGCTCCATGGGCCTCGCGAGCGTGTCAAAACCGAGGAGGATGAAGAGCCCGGTGCAACGCCATTGCTGTGCAAAGCAGTATTGCGCGAGCGCGTACGCCCACAGTTTCGGAAGTGGCGGGGCTCGCGAAGGCAACTCTGAGCGCTGCCATGCGGTCAGGAGGCGCCACGACCCTCGGATGCAGCCTCGAACTTGAGGAACAAAATGTGAAATACCAGAAAGCGCATCCGCGGCCATGGAGCGAGGCTCGCCTGTTTCCCATAACTCTTCGATGTACCCTGACAGCAATGTGTCAAGCGCCGCTGCTGTATTCGGCCAGCGGCGGCCAGAAGTGACGATGTGCTGCAAAAAGCTCCGGACAGCGTCAGAGTACCGGAGCCGGGTGGCTGGCCGAACTAAAAGATCACGCAGCCTGCCCAGAGAGCGGCGCTCCGCCGCTTTGCCGCCGCGGCCGGCTGCGCCTGCAGCCGCCTGTCCGCGGCGGCGGCCCCTGCTCAGGGGTGCTCCAACCTCCGCCGCTTCCACCGACTTGGCCCGTCTGCGGGGTTGCCCTTGCTCGGCACCCACCCGTAGAAGGCACGGAAGTTAGCAAATCCGCTGATGGCAGCAATGCGGAGGAGCATTTGGTTGAGGTTGTTGGATGAGGACCGCCCTTTCGTGAGCGCTCCGATGGCCGCCTGGCTGTCCAAGAGGAACAGCTTGCGCTTCCCGTGGTGCTTGGGAAGCTTCAGATGAGAGCGCAAGAAGTCCAAGACAGCAGTAGCCTCTAAGACGTTGATGTGTTGCTGGTTCCGGAACGCGTAGGACAGCGCAACCCTCCAGGTCCATAGCCCTGCGTCAAGAGGAGCCCGGGGCCACGCATCGAAGCGATGGGGGAGGCCTGCGTCAAGCCGGATGTCTGACCCCCGGTGATCAGCAAGCCGGATGAATTCCTGGACAAGCTCCGCCTCGGGCGCGAGCCTGGAATCGGTGGCTGCGGACGCTGGCGCAGGAGCAGCCGAGATGGCGGGGCCGCCGTGCGCCTCGGTCCACTTGCGCGTCGAAGCGCGCTGCGCCTCCGAATCGAGCCTCGCCCATGTAGTCCAAAGATCGTCAATGCAACCCCGCTGCAGGCCTTCCGGGGGCTGCGGCGAGGACGCCACGAGCACGAAGTCCCGCACCATCCGCGCGATGACAATGGGGCACGCGCTGCTGACAAGCTCGGCCTTGGCATCCTCGAGGCCGGTTTTCGGGGAAAGGCGCTCGACGGGCCGGAAATGGCCCCAGCGGAAGCCCAGCATGCGAATCTGTTCATCAGCTTTCAAGCGCCGGGGGCCATGGCGGTCAGCGACCAGATTCTTATCCTCGTAGTGGTGTGCGGGGTGCCTGAACAAATCGTGGACGCAGCGCTTCCACGCCTTCTCAGAAACCTCCGCAGGACGCTCTGGGGAGGGCTCAGAAACCTCCGCAGGAACGCCTTCTCAGAAACCTCCGCGAACCCAGAAGAAGGACTCCCGGGCGCAGGGGAGGGCGGCAGTAGCTTGCACGTGGATTGGCTGGTGGCCGACCTGCCTGCTCACCTCCTGCACGTCCGCCTCTGCGATGGTCGCCTCGTACTCGATGAGGTCCGCGACGCCCCAAGCAGCGTGCCGCCGCAAGGACTCGGAGATGCGCAGCGGCACCTCGAGGTGAGAGATGGGCCCCTTCGAGTCCGGGCCGATCCGCGCCATGCAGCTGTACTGGAGAATCCGGCGGGCCTGAGGATACCAGCTACTCCACTTGAGAACCTCCTCGTGCGTGACGGCGGAGGCGTCGGGGTAGCAGAAGGCCTGCGGCCAGGCTGCGCGGACCACGCCGCGGGCGACCTTCGACGGCTCGACGGCGATGATACCGCAAGGCGTGATGCCCAGCAGATCGAGGGCCATTGCTGCCCCACCCGTGGCGTCGAACACGCTGACGACGAGAATGTCGGAGGGGCAAGCGGGCGCGCCGGCGCGGAGCGCGCCGAGACGGGCCACCCCCTTGGGCGAAAGGCCAGCAGAGACACATGCGCCTCCACCCGTCTCAGAGGCGTCGGTGGCCACGACTTCCCCGGACACCTGCGCGGCGAGGTCTGTCCAAAGGAGGGGCGTGGCGAGAACGACTGCCAGCAACTCGTCCGCCGCGTCCCCGCCGAGGGGCCCGGGCAGCCGCCCGACCGAGAGCTCGCGGAAGATCCGGCCGAGGAAAGAGAAGTAGCCGCGGCCGAACTGCATCATGAAGGTGATCCGCCCGACGTCCGAGAGGAGGTCGTCATCGCGCACGCGCTCTGCGGTGAGGTGGCCCAGCGCGCGCCCGAGACAGTAGGAGCGCCGCGATGGCGACGTGCCGACGAGCCTGTCGGCCCCCCGCAGCTGCGCTCCGAGCGTCTCCCAATTGATGGCCCCCTCGGCAGACTTCTCCGGAGCCCGGCGGACGCCGGCGGCAGCGTAGGCAGCTCGGACGGCGAGCTGCTCACCGCTGGGTTTGAACACGTACTGCTCCGCCTCCGTCTCCAAGACCACCTTGCCCTGGTCCCAGTTATCTACGTAAACGGAAAACCAGTTCCGGGGCAGACCTGCGCTCGAGGGGGCACGGTGGCCCATGCGGACAAGGAGGTCAGCTGAGATGCCAGCCCCGCTCGGCGCCTTCCCGGTGACGAGGTTCTCGTGCGCCTCCTGGATGAACGCCACGGCGTTGACCCAGCCCATGGGGCACGTCCGCAACCGCGGCCGCACCCAGGCGGAGCCAGGGAGCCCGAGGACCTCTCCAGGGACGGCCTCCTCGATGACGAAAGCACCCCTCCAGGCCCGCGGCACCCCGTAGAGGTGGAAGCACCCGCTCTGATCCTCCGAATAGTGGACCTGAATCTCGTCAGGGTGCAGAACAAGAAGGGGCCAAAGGCCCGGGTAGCCCATGGCCTTCGCAGCACCCCCATAATGCCGCTGCAACGCGTTCGTCGGCACGAGGTTCACGATGAGGCGAAGTACCCGACGCTGACGATTACCTACTTGTTTCCAGGATTTGTGGACCCCAAAGAGCCCGTTCCGGACAGGGACGCCTCGATGCGTCCACGTCTCCTCCGGGACCTCGGCCTCCATGACGCCTAACTTGCACAATGCCTCCACTATCTTGTAGTACTCGGCCTTGGACTCTACGAGGACGCGAGCTTTCGGGAGCGGCTCCTGGACTTCGTCCTCGGGGAGCCTGAGGATGCTGGGGTCGAGGAGAACTTCGCGAGCAGGGCCACTCAGCAAGTCCGCGAGCTCCACCTGGGCAGCAACCTCGGGGCTGGGAAGCCCGGGCAAGATGCCGTCAAGCGTGAGCGGGAATGCGCGCGTCACCTGCTCTCCCCAATAGAGCTCCGACGCCCGCTGTTCAACGACGGCGGACGGGGCGAGGTTGACGGGGTCCCCCTCGTCTACCAGGATGGTGGCGAACCTCCGGAAACGGGCCAATGCTTGCACCTGTGCCGGAGAAGGCTCCGCTGGGTACTTGAGGAGCTTCGCGAGGAGGCGCGGGCCCCCCAGGAACCCGTAGTTCGTGACCAGGGCGGTCAACTCGACCCAGGCGTCGATCCCGACCTCACGGCTCACGGGGGGAAGGGACTGGGAGGCTCCGCGGCGGCTCCGGATTGCCGCCAGCGCGGCAACGAGGCCAGTCGAGCGAGTCGGCCGCGGCACGGGCAGCAGCTCCCCGGGACCGGCCAAATCTTGCCACGCGCCGCACGGCCAAAGGCGGCTGAGTTCACCTAGGCCGCCGGGTCTGCCCTCGATGTGCTCCACGAGGACGGCCCCAAGCTGCGCGACCGATGCCCCGGTGGAGAGCTGCTCGGCTAACCGGCGCCGCGCCCCTCGAATGTCGAGAACTGGCTCGCTTGCGCCGCGTCCAAGGTCCAGGCGGTCTATGAGAGCCTTAGCCGTCTCAGCCTCCAGCCGTGAACCAACGCGGAGGCTTCGCCCGAGGAGCGCCTCCCGCTCAAGGGCTTCGGCCCCAGGGTGACCGCCCCATTCGGCCCAGTACGATCGCGGGAGTCCGAGCGACGGGACGCCTCCTCCGACGTACACGGATCCGTCCGCCGAAGTCCGCGAACCGAGGTCACCGACGAGGATGTGCACCCCGGAGTGGACGCAGATCTCCCCATTCGCCGCCTCCTTATGCCCCCGCCGGCGCTTTTCCCCGAGTCCGGAGCGATCCTTCGCACCAACAGCGGCGCCTAGTAGCGGGGCCCTCGCGGGGGAGGCCGCCGCGGGCTGGGCCTCCTTCCTTTCCCTGCTTCGTGCCCCCCTTTTCCTTTTCCTTTGGGATTTCGTCCTGGCGGAGGCCGCCGGCGGCTCCTGCTCCTCGAACGGGTTCCCGATGAGCTCCGGCCGCGGCGCCGAGGCCGGGAGGGTGCGGCCCGCCTGTCCTGCTCCTCCTCGCGCCGCGCGTCCCGGAGGTCCCCCCTGTCGTACGTCCCGACGGTGTTCACGGGGATCAGCTCTAGCCAGCGCGCGTTCGTCCAGTTGCCCTCTTCGATGGACAGCTCGATCGCCTTGAACCTCTGCACGGCGATGTCGAGGGCCGTCAGAATCCTGCCCTGCAGGATGGCCTCGATGATGGCCGCGATGGTCTTCAGCTCGCGCGGATTCCGGAGGCCCACGGCGGCCTCCCCGGCCGGGCGAGCGCCGAAGAACGACGTGACGAGGTAGGCCCGGATGACGTTGTTGAGGAGGCCCCCCCCGAGGAGGTCCTCCGCCGCCACCCCGCGCATGTGGCCCTCCATGCGCCGGAGAGCCTGCTGCGCGAGGACCCCGGGGAACCTGGCCGCTACGACGTGCGTCGGGGGACGCCCTCGGTCGCGCTCCCCACGGCGGCCCTCCCCGGCCGCGTCGGGAACGGCCCAGAAGGCCGCCCCTGGATCTCCTCCACCCTCCGTGTCCGCGGCCGCCAGGATGCGCCCGACGAGCTCCTCGCGGAGCCGCCCCGTGAGAGCGGCTGCAGGCACCTCGCCTGGCGGCAGCGGCAGCGCGGGCCTTGCAAGGTTCATCCGCTCCCGGGCTGCGCGGAGGAGTCCACGTAGCTCGGCGGCACGCGGATCCTCGCCCGCCGCGCCTGCGGCAGGGGCGAGCGGATCGACCGGAGCGCCCCCAGGACCAGCACGCGGCGGCGCAGCGCTGGCCCCTGGCCCCGCAGCCGCCGGCTCCACGGGGGCCGCAGCGGCGCCTCCAGCTCCAGCAGCTCCCGCGGCCGCGTCGGGGACGGGAACACCGAGGGCGCCCGCAAGCGCCTGGAGCTCGTCCGCGAGCCCCGGATCTGCAAAGGGTGCCTGAGCCCCGGGGGGCCCAGGCGAACGTTGTGATGGCCGGCGGGCGGCAGCGCCCGGTGCAGCAGCAGGCCGGCGGCGGGCGGCCTGCGGCACGGCGGCAGCTGCCGGTCGCCGCATGCGCGACGACATCGTCGCGGTGCAACGCGGGGCGCCGCTGGCAGGCCCGCGACAGCATGCCTATGTGCCGAAATGCCTGCGGGTGCTATCACTCCGCACTAGCATCCGGGGCGTATTCATTGGATACTTTTTGCCTGCGGAACTGTGTGTGTGTGTAAGTAGGAGGAGGAGGCGGAGGAGGAGAGGAGAAGGCGGAGCAGCAGGAAGACGAGGACGCCCAGAACTCCAACGCCGTTTTTTTTTTTCTCCAGAGGTCTGGACCATTGAGTCGGGACCGTTTTTCAGTCCGGAGTCGTTTTCTGACGGTCCCTGGGGCCCAGCCAGGGTCCAGAACTTCTATTTGGGCCGAAACCTCTTTCTGACCCCGCGGACTTCCTCCGTCCAGACTCGGGCGTCGGGTCGGGGGCGGCCAAGGAGGAGGGTGATGACTAAGGGCTGGTGGGCATCATGGCCGGTGCGGGTGGATCTCATGGCCGGGGCCATGATGCCTCCCCAGATTCCATGGCGCCCTCTTCTTAATTTCAATCCGTCCTCTGGTCCCCCCCGTTCGCGTGCGTGCCTCGGCCCATGATCTGCGAGTGTTTTTTTCCTGCACGACTCTGCCAGCGGGGGCCGATTCCCAGCGGGAACGCCGCACGCTGTCTTGCGGTAGGTTGCGTCGTGTCGGCTGGCGGCGACCCCGCCGCGGGCGTTCAAGGTTGAACGCCGCCAGTGGCCCAGAATCGGCCTATATGGAACGATCGGGGCGCTCTAGAAGCCGCCGATCGTTCAAGGTTGAACGATCCCCGCGGTGTCATAAACCAAGGCTGGGGTCGACACGACACGAATTCTCCGTACTCGCTCCCACCCGCGTCCCACCAGGCAAGTGGCGCCCGAGCCTCAGCAAAGGCAGAGGTCGCCATCGGATGGGGAGCCAATTGCAGACCCTGGGGTGGTGCGCGGCGCTCGCGGAGTGCGCCGCGCGTGCCAGGTGCGCTGCCCGCACCAGGTGCCCGGGCATCGCTCGGACGTGTGCATTTTTTCTGGGCGAGGACCATCGATCACCGAGCACGTTCCACTACTGGCAAAGTGCCTACTCGCAAACGTCGGAGAAATACATGTCTTCCTCGATGTAATGGATCGTAGATTCCCCGCGGCGGATCCAGGCCGTTTGCGAGTAGCTACTCTGCGAGTAGTGGAACGCCCTTGTCTAATCGAGGAGCACCCCGGATCATAGAGCAGAAGACACGCCCGCAGAACACACGCACGGGGAGTGGACGTCCGATCGCTGGCAGGGCACCCGCGGCGCACCCCGGTGGGGTTCACAGCCCAGGGGCTCGCGTGCATCCTCGAGGTGCACGGGCAGCGCGGCCCCGCCCCGGCGCGCGCTGCGCTGCGCTGCGCGCGCGCGTCGCCTCTGCCGTTGCGCCCTTTGGGGGCCCGCCCTCGCCTCGCCTGGCCATGCCTCACGCCTTGCCCCCGCAGGCATGCGCCGGTGGGGGGTACGATAAATGTCGGCGGCGAGCAAGGGGGGACTCGCGGGCGTAGATGTTGTTCGCCCGGGTTGGTTTTCGCCCGGTGCGTTTCGCCCGCTTCGGTTCGCCCGGGTTTGCTTTCGCCCGGGTTGGCTTTCGCCCGGGTTGGCTTTCGCCCGGGTTGGCTTTCGCCCGGGTTGGCTTTCGCCCGGGTTGGCTTTCGCCCGGGTTGGTTTTCGCCCGGGTTGGCTGTCGCCTGGGCTCGTTTTCGCCGGGGTTCCCGCGTCCATCAGGAGCGCGGGCGACGGGCATGGATCCCGGAAGAGGGCTGCGGGCCGGAGGAGGACAGGAAAGGCAAGACCGCGAGGGGAACTGAGGAGGGCGACCAGGAGGGGAACGGGAGGACGGGGAGTCGTCGTCGTAGTAGTCGTCGTCCTCCTCGTTGTCCTAGTCGTCGTCGTCGGCGTCGTCGACGTCGTCGTCGTGGTCGTTGTGTTATTGTCGTGGTGGTGGTGGTCGTCGTTGTCTTAGCCGTTGTCGTCGTCGCCGTACTCGCCGTTGTCGCCGTCGTCGTCGTCCTCCGGGACGCCGTCGTTGCCGTCGTCCTCGTCGTGGTTGTTGTCGTCGTAGTGGTACCGCCCGTCAGGGTCGGCCCGCCCGACCCGACCCGCCTGTTAGGGTTCGCGCGTGCTGAATCGAGCGCGCCCCACACTTCAGTGCCCCGCCCGCCCGACCCGACCCGCGTGATAGGGTCCGCCCGACCCGATCCGACCCGTCCCGCCCGTTAGTGTCCGCCCGCCCGACCAGACCCGCTCGTTAGGGTTCACGCGTGTCCACTCGAGCGTGCCCCACACTTTAGTGTCCCGCCCGCCAGACCCGACCCGCCCGTTATGGTCCACCCAACCCGACCCGACCCATCCCGCCCGTCCCGTTAAAGTTCACGCGTGTCGCTCGGGCGTGACCCACACTTTAGTGCCCCGCCCGCCCGACCCGACCCAAGTGTTAGGGTCCGCCCGACCCGACCCGACCCGTCCCGCCCGTTAGGGTCCGCCCGACCCGACCCGACCCGCCCGTTAGGGTTCACGCGTGTCGCTCGGGCGTGACCCATTCGCCGGGGCCGGGCGGGGAGCAGGCGCCGTCGCCGCTGGCACGGCCGTCGCCGCCGCCGTCGTGACCCCCGGGAGCCCTTGAGGCGCGCCGCTTGCCCAGGCGAAAGGGGTGAAGAGACGTGGGGGGGGCTCAGGAAGGTGCCGGATGCTCTCGAATAGTTGACACATCGCCGACAGGTCGGCGATAAGCCCCCAGACAGGGAAGCCGCGCGTTCCTGGGCAGGGCGGGGCGCTCTGGCTCCAATCGGCGATGAACGGGTGATGAGAAATCTATGTCTCCTGTCCCCTCTGAGCAATTTCTCTGTTTCTCTTCGCCCCCAGAAGCGGCCGGCGGTCGTGGTGGCGGTCGCAGCTGGTGGGGGCATTGGCGGTGGTAATGGAAGCTGTGACGGAAAGGGGCGCGCCGAGACCTCCGACGCCCGGGAAAAACAAAACGGTAAGTTTTGTGGGCCGGGGTCGGCCGCAGGGGGGCTGGGACGGCCCTAGGACGCGCCAGGATAAAAACCTGTCCTTATTTCTTGCTTCACTTTTATATTATTTTTTTTTCTATTTTTTGTTTTTACTTTTTTTCTTTTTTCATTGTTGGGAACGACTGCGGACCTGAGGGAGCCGCCGGCCGCGCAGTGTAATTCGGGACCTTAACGGGCGGGTCCGGGCGGGCGGGGACACTCAACCACTATGAGGGCGCGCTCGATTGAGCAGAGTGTGGGGCCCACGCGTGAACCCTAACGGTGCGGGTCAAGTCGGGCGGGCGGAGCATACAGGGCGGGACGGGTCGGGTCGAGTCGGGCGGACCCTAATGGGCGGGTCGGATCGGGCGGGCGGGGCACTAAAGTGTGGGGCGCGCTCGAAGGAGCACGCGTGAACCCTAACGGGCGGGTCGGATCGGGAGGGCGGGACACTGAAGTGTGGGGCACGCCGGAGCGAGCACGCGTGAACCCTAACGGGCGGGTCGGGTCGGGCGGGCGGACCCTGACGGGCGGGACGGGTCTGGTCGGGCCGCGCGGACCCTAACGAGCGGGTCGTGTCGGGCGGGCGGGGCACTAAAGTGTGGGTCACGCCCGGGCGACATACGACTGTGAACTTTTCACGGGCGGTCGGGTCGGGTCGGGCGGGTCCCTTGAGCGGGAAGGGGTCGGGTCGGACGGTCCCTAACGGGGCGGGTCGGGATCGCCCGGGCGGGCGGGACACTTAAAGGTGTTGGAGGGGCGGTTCGAGTGGGCACGCGTGGACCCTTTTTTTTTTTTTTTTTTTGACGGGCGGGTCCGGTCGGCGGGGGACCCTAAACGGGCGGGTCGGGTCGGGCGGAGCCTACACGCAAGTCCGGTCGGCGGGGGACCCTAACAGGCGGGACGGGTTCGGTCGGGTCTGGGGCGGACCTAAGGGCGGGTCGGGTCGGGCGTGTGGGACACTGAAGTGTGGGGCGCGCTCGACTGAGCACGCGTGAGCCCTAGCGGGCGGGTCGGGTCGGGTTGGCGGACCCTAACGGGCGGGGCGGATAGGGTCGGGTCGAGCAAACCCCAACGGGCGGGTCGGGTCGGGCGGGCGGGACACTAAAGTGTGGGGGCACGCTCGAATGGGCACGCGTGAACCCTAACGGGCGGGTCGGGTCGGGCGGGCGGACCCTAACGGGCGGGACGGGTAGGGTCGGGCTTCGCGGACCATGACGGGCGGGTCGGGTCGGGTGGGCGGGGGCATTGAAGTGTTGGTCACGCCCGAGCGACACGCGTGACCCTAACGGGCGGGTCGGGTGGGGCAGGCGGACCCTTGCGGGCGGGACGGGTCGGGTCGGGTCAGACGGACCCTAACGGGCGGGTCGGGTCGGGTGGGCGGGACACTAAATTGTTGGGCACGCTCGAGTGAGCACGCGTGATCTTTAACGGGCGGGTCGGGTCGGTCGGGCGGACCCTAACGGGCGGGACGGGTCGGGTCGGGTCGGGCGGACCCTAACGGGCGGGTCGGGTCGGGCGGGCGGGGGCATTAATGTGTGGATCACGCCCGAGCGACACGCATGAACCCTAGCGGGCGGGTCCAGTTTGGCGGGCGGACCCTAGCGGGCGGGACGGGTCGGGCGGACCCTAACATTTGGGTCGGGTCGGGCGGGCGGGGCACTGAAGTGTGGGGCACGCCGGAGCGAGCACGCGTGAACCCCAACGGGCGGGTTGGGGCGGGTCGGGCGGACCCTGACGGGCGGGATGGGTCGGGTCGGGTTGGGCGGACCCTGACGGGCGGATCGGGTCTGGCGGGCAGGACACTAAAGTGTGGGGCGCGCTCGAGTGGGCACGCGTGAACCCTGGCGGGCGGGTCTGGTCGGGCGGGCGGACCGTAACGGGCGGGACGGATCGGGTCGGGTCGGGCGGACCCTATCACGCGGGTCGGGTCGGGCGGGCGGGGCACTGAAGTATGGGGCGCGCTCGACTCAGCACGCGCAAACCCTAACGGGCGGGTCGGGTCGGGCGGGCGGACCCTGACTGGCGGGTCTACTACGACGGCAACGACCACGACGAGGACGACGGCAACGACGGCGACCAGGACGACGACGACGACGGCGACAACGGCGAGTACGGCGACGACGACAGCGGCTAAGACAATAACGACGACGACCACCACGACAATAACACAACGACGACGACGACGACATCGACGACATCGACGACCACGACTACGACAACGAGGAGGACGACTACTACTACGACGACGACTCCCCGTCCTCCCGTTCCCCTCCTGGTCGCCCTCCTCAGTTCCCCTCGCGGTCTTGCCTTTCCTGTCCTCCTCCGGCCCGCGGCCCTCTTCCGGGATCCATGCCCGTCGCCCGCGATCCTGATGGACGCGGGAACCCGGGCGAAAACGAGCCCAGGCTTGCGAAAGCCAGCCCGGGCGAAAACCAACCCCGGGCGAAAGCCAACCCGGGCGAAAGCCAACCGGGCGAAAGCAAACCCGGGCGAAACGAACCGGGCGAAACGCACCGGGCGAAAACCAACCCGGGCGAAACACATCTACGCCCGCGAGTCCCCCCCGTTAGGCGACGCCCGAGCGCGCGCTTCGTCTTTGCCGCTGCGCCTTTCGGGGGCCCGCCCGTTCGCTTCTCGCGGCCATCCCTCGCGCCTCGCCTCCGCAGGCACGCGCCGATGCACTGCCGCCCCGCCTGGCGAGGGCTTTCGCACGCCCCAGGAGGGCGTGCGCATTTATGCCCTCCTGGCCTCGGCCAGGAGGGTCTCTACGCCTCGCGTAGGGGATCGACTGCAGTATCCCCCAAGGTCACGATCTCGTCGGTCTCGTTGGATCTACGAAACAGACGTGGAATGCTCGCAGATCTAGAAACACTCATCGTGTTTCTGTTGTAGAGTCGACGAGGAATTAGTTCTGGGGTAAATCCCATTCTATAGTCGATCCCCTACGCGAGGACCATGCGAGGGCCCAGGGTGGCCCCTGGTCAGGCACGGCGGCGGTGTGCAGGGGCCTTCTGCGCATCGTCCCTCCTCCTCCCTCTCGGGGCCGAGGCGCGTCGCGGAAGCGTACAGATACCTGACCAGCCCGCTGGGAGCCCGCGCTGCCCTGCGCCCTGCCGCGGCGGGCGGGGGCGCTGCTGGGGTCCAGGAGCCGACAGGTCCTTCTTCTTCTTTTTTCTTCTTCTTCTTCTTCTTCCTCTTTTTCCTCTTCTCCTCCTTCTCCCCCCCCTCCTCCTCCTCCTCCTCTTCTTCTTCTTATTTTTGTTGGTTTGTTTTATTTTATCATACTCGCCAGCGAGGCTTGGCCTACGGTTTCTGTGTTTGTCTATGAAGAGACCGGTGGGTGCTGGACGCCGTCGCGCCAGGTTTCCACAGGGTTCCTTCGCTTTGTTCCTTGACAGGGGTGTTCCTGGTTCATCGGTCTTGATTCTTTGGTTCTTTAGTCTGGCTGGGTTCCTTGGTTCCTTAGTCTTGGTTCCTTGGTTCCTTTGTCTTGGTTCCTCGGTTCGTTTGTCTTGGTTCCTTGGTTCCTTGGTTCCTTGGACTTGATACCTTGCTGCTGCCTTTCTCGGGTTCCTTTGATTCGGTGGTCTTGGCTCGTTGGTTCCGTGGTCTTGGTTCCTTGGTCTTGGTTTCTTGGTTCTTTTGTCTTGTTTCCTTGGTTCTTCGGTATTTACTCCTTGTTTTTTTTTCGGCGTCTTGGCTTCTTGGTTCCTTGATCCCTGGGTTCCTTGGTTCTTTGGTCTAGGTTTCTTGCTGCTTCGCCACGCATTGCCACGCGACGCCGGGCAACGCCAAGCAATGCCAATGCTTGGCAATGCCACGCAATGCCGCGCAATGCCACGTAATGCCAAGCAACGCGAAACAACATGACAAGCAACATGCAGAGCACTGCCAAGCAATGTGCAAAACAATATGTCAAGCAATGCTTGCCACGCAATGTGCCCACGCAATGTGCCCTGATTGGGGGCGCGCCGGGTTCATGAAGAATTACCCGAAGCTGAGTTGGCTGGAGAGGTTGGCTGGGAGGTAGGCCGGGTCAGTTCTTCGATAGGTAGTGCTTGACAACGCAGGGAGTAATTTTGATTTGTCAGGCCCAGAGAGTTTCGACGGTGAGTCGACACGCTGTTGACTCTCGGTAACGGGGAAACCAATTGAGTTGATTCGGCGTTTGCTGCCACCATCGGATGCCAGGCGAGGAAGGGATTTTCATCGTGGAAGTGCAGTGTTGTCGTGCAAGCACTGCTCAGGGAATGTTACGACATCCGTCCCGGGACTGATGCCAACATGTTCCCTAGTCGCGCGCCTCCCAGGGCCCAGGACCCGCGGAGGGAAATATCACTACCCGAACGCTGCCTTCTGCCCACAGCCGTGCGTTCCCCCTCGCCTGCTGTGCAGGGGTTGCTGGAAGCCTGGCCGTCCCCGCCTCGCGCACCCCTCCACCGCACCTTCTTCATGACAGCTCGCTGGGAGCACGCGAGGAATGCAATGGCTGCAAAATTAGATCGGCGCTTCTTCTGCATCCTTTCCAGCCCCCCCCGTGCCGACACTCCTTCTGTGGTGAAGTGCGAGATTCGCACCAGTCTCTCCAGGTTAGTGGTCGCCTGTTGGCATCGTCGGTAGGAGTTGCGAGTCGGTTGTCGAATGGGGGGTCGTCGGTTTGGCTTTAGTGCTGGTCGGAGCAGTGTCAGTCTGCAAGCGAGCGTCTGCAATCGCCCGCTGAAGTACGCAGAACACCGCTCAACACGATGACGCCCATCCCAGGGTGGTATTTTCGAGACGGCGACGAGCGGGGAGCTGGGGCCACGTGGGATGCGGAGGAGAGCCCCTGGCGGTCCCTGGAGGTCTCCCGAGGCCTCCTGGGGCCCAGAAAGGGCCAATAACGGCGAGAAGCGTCGACCCCCCCATTCTCGAGGATCGAGGAGGAAGGAGGAGGAGGAGGAGGAGGAGGAGGAGGAGGAGGAGGAGGAGGAGGAGGAGGAGGAGGAGGAGGAGGAGGAGGAGGAGGAGGAGGAGGAGGAGGAGGAGGAGGAGGAGGAGGAGGAGGAGGATGAGCAGGTTGAGGAGGAGGAGGAGGAGGAGGAGGAGGAGGAGGAGGCTCGCCTGTGGTGGGTGCATCAGGACACCCAGACGCCCGCTGACCGTGACCTCGTCGATCCGCAGCCCCAGGAGGTCTCGACCGCCTCCTCGGGATCCGCTTTTCGTCCCGGATCCACTCCCGGTGGCCCCGAGGCCCGAGGCTGGCCCCCGGAGGCCGACGCAACCCTTCCAGGAGGGTGCGGGTTCGCTACCGGGTGACCATCGCCGATCTGTCGGCGATGTATCGCCGACTCCAGGTCGATGCGTGCCCCCCTTATGCCTATTCCGCCCCTTCCAAGAGAGTCCAAGACGCACTGGATATGGATATGAATATTGCCCGCACCGGAGGCCGACGTAACCCTTCCAGGAAGGTGCGGGTTCGCTACCGGGTGACTATCGCCGATCTGTCGGCGACGCATCGCCGACTCCAGGTCGATGCACGCCCCCCCCCTCTTGTGCCCATCCCCCCCTGTCGTTGCCCTTCACGTCTGGGCATCCGTGCTCCCGGGTCGCCGGTGCCACTGCCCCCCAGGAGGCTCCCAGCTGGAGGCCGCGCCACTCCACCGTGGGGCCGGAAGAGGCCGGGGCCCGCCAGCGCACCAGCCCTTGCCTCCTCGTCCTGGCTGCTGCCCGCGGATCGGGGGGTGGGAGATCGAGGTCCATTCAATGGTGCATGGAGGGCGGAGGACGTCGAGGGTGGAGGGTTGCAGGTTCGAGGGTGCAGGATCGAGCGTCGAGGATTTCGTTTCGAGGGTGGAGCATCTAGCTCCGAGGGTGGAGTGGTCGAGGTTCGAGGGTTCGAGGGTTCGAGGGTGGAGAATCTGGGTTCGAGGGTGGAGGGTCGTGGGTTCGGGGACGTTTCTGGCAATTTTTGTGCCTCGGGGGCCTTCGGAAACCTCTGGAGGCCGTCGGGGGTCTGTCTCCTCATGCTCCTACTCCTCCTTCCCCTCCTCCTTCCTCTCCTCCTCCTCCTCCTCCTCCTCCTCCTTCTCCCTCCTCCTCCCTCCTCCTCCACCTCCTCCTCCTCCTCCACCTCCTTGTCCTCCTCCTCCTCCTCCTCCTCCTCCTCCTCCTCCTCCTCCTCCTCCCTCTCCTCCTCCTCTCTTTCTGCTGCTGCCTGCTTTGCAACGCTTCCGCTTTCTGCTCGCTCCCACTTCTACGCCCTCCTCCTCCTCCTCCTCCTCCTCCTCCTCCTCCTCCTCCTCGTGCGTCCTCTTCCAACGTATTCTCATCCTCCTCGTCGGCCTGTTACTCCTTCGCCTTCTCCTCGGGGACGCGTCCAGGTCCGTCCTTGCTTAGACTCTATTGAGACCCTATTGGGAACCTGCGACAGGTTCGCGCCGCGTTGACGCGGCGGCAACCCCAGCGCGGGTACTCAGAGTTGAACGCCCCCAGTGGTCCGGAATCGGCCGATATCGAACGATCCGCGCGGTCGGAAAGTCACGGTCGTTCGAGGTTGAACGATCCACGCGGTGTCACAAAACCAACGTGGACGTCGCCACGGCACGGAACTTCCGCACTAAAACCACAGCAGTATCTTGCCAGTGCCCCGCCGTGCTCTGCCAGGACAGTAATTTGCCAGGTTCCCGGCGGGATCCTCTCCAGGGGCCGGGGAAGAGCACAGGTGAGTTCCTGCCCCCAAGCCCGATTTTGGACTCCAGGGGAGGGGGAATGGGGAAAGGGGGGGTGATGGGCAAATTATCCACCACCACTACCACATGTACGGGGGAGAAGGGAGGATGAGGAGCTCCTCCTCCTCCTCCTCCTCCTCTTCCTCCTCCTCCTGCTTTTTCTCCGGCCTGTCGTGGCACCCTTGGCCTCGACACGCCCCCGGCAGAAGCTGACTGCAGCTCTTTCGCGGACATCCGATCCGATCCGATCCTCCTTCCTCTCCTACCTATGGTAGTGGTGGTTTCAAATGGGCCCATCAGGGTGCAGTGGTCCCGCTGAGAACCACTGCCCTGATGTAAAGTGTACTTCTCTCCTGTCTCCTCTGACAGCGTCTGATATATCTCGATATAGATGTACAAGGATCGGGCAGTGTAGTGCGATGCTGATCCCTCGCTGGTCCTGGAAGGGAGCTGCTTTTCGATATTGCGGGCCACCTCGCAATCCTGCGTCTCACGGGCGCACACCAGAAGTCCAGCGACACTCTGTCGCTGCAAAGGCTTGAGCCAAGACGGTTTCGGTAGAAACGTCTTGGGAAACGTGTGAGACACTTATGATGAGCCTCTCGGGCTTGAGGCTCTTCGGGCGCCCTCGGGGAGATCATTATTAAGCATGGCTAGGCTGCAAATAGAGTGTCGGAAACACGATACGCCGTGAAACGCGGACTTACAGAAAACGGGGCTCCTGTGGAGCCTGAGTGTACACATTAGCTCACACTCGGCCTCTAGAGGCCATCTGTCGTAAGTAGGCTCTGGTCAGGCAGGCTCTGGGCTGTGAATTGCACAGGGGGGGGGACAGCCAACTATCTCACATGCCCTGCTACCCCCGGGCACGCGGGGGTCAGCGGATATCCAAAGCTAATACAGGGCGCATTCTTCGACAATTCGAGTATGATTTTGCAGATTCGGCTCGGTGCGGGCCCTGATGACTCCACAACGCTAGGTCGGAAGTGATTGCTTCTAGCCTTGTCCGAATTCGAGAGACCCCCAAGAGGCTTCCAAGAGGCCCCAAAGCCCCCAAGAGGCTCCTCAGAGGCCCCACAAGTATCCCTCCAAGAGATCAGTGAACTCTCTAGTTCACTGATTTTTGATTCCGATTTTCGGAAAACCAGTGAACTCGGAAATTCACTGATCTTGACTTACGGATCCGTTGTTGTTTGGGGGGGACATGGGTCGGGGAGGCTCTGCCCCGTGCTGCCCACCCCCCCCCCTCCCGTGGGCCGTCCACTGACCGCTCGGGACGACTGCCGGAAGTATGCGGTGTACGCCCGACGCTGCCAGTCCATGTTTTCCTGACGCGTGCCCCGTCTCCGCTGTTCTCCAGAGGCGAGGCCCCGTCTCGGCGCGCTGAGCCCAAGGGGGGCGTGTGCCTTCACCCTGGTTGATGATCGCCCGTGGCGTGCCGACGCGCCCGAGCTCGCAGGTGGAGGGCGAGGTGGAGGAGGGGGGCGAGCAGGAGGATGCGGAGGAGGAGGAGGAGGAGGAGGAGGAGGAGGAGGAGGAGGAGGGGAGGAGGAGGAGGAGGAGCAGGCGGAGGAGGAGGATGAGGAGGTTGGGGGGAAGAGGGGGAGGGGATGAGGGGAGGAGGAGGAGGGCGAGTGAGCAGGAGTGAAGAAGGAGGATGAGGAAGAAGAGGAGGAGGAGGAGGAGGAGGGGGAGGAGGAGGGGAAGGAGGAGGGGAATGAGGAGGAGGAGGAGGAGGAGAACGAGAACGAGAACGAGAATGAGAACGAGATCAAGCGATTCGACGTAGTTGGCAAACCAAGATGCCCCCCTGAACTTGGCGAAATACCGGACGAACAGGAAGGTGAAGTACAAGGAGAACCAGTAGTAGGAGCCCAAGGAACTGCAATGATAAGCCCAGGCAAAACGTGAGGTGGTTGCACGGCACGTGTATAGAGCCCCACACCGCACATACCTCGGATGAATACCTCGTTGGACCAAGTGAAAGAGCAGGCTAAGCTGAGATGAGTTCAACCCGATTCGGCCCATACAAAGACACCTCTGATCATCGGGCAGCCTCCAAAGAGATCGACTCCCCCACAAACGGCCTCGCCGACTGCCAATGTCAGAGGAGCAAGGTCTTTTCTCAATACTTGCCCAAGATCTGCGAGAAGAGCCGTGAGACCAAGCACGGTACACCTAAAAGGAAAAATGCCATTCGACCAAGCACACACGAATACAGAGTTGTAGCACATAAGACGGAACATCCAATCCCATTGGAACAGCCATCCATTGATGCACGGCTCAGAATACAGACGGTTGGCACGTCCCATTCAAGCTGAGGAAATTAATGGCAAAAACAAAGTGAAAAAAGGTCGCCATAAAAGGCTCGGCTCAGAATACGGACGGCCAGCACGTCCCCATCCCACGAACCAAGAAAACGCCATGCACGGACAGCAGCGATATTGAAATGCGAACTGAAAAGCTGAAGCCACTGCTCTTTGCCACCGCTGGCCCATGACAGCAATGAAAGTGATAACACGCCGAGGGGCCGCGACTTGCTCCCACCTGCCTGATCTCTGCCACCAAAAAGGGACCTTAAGCCAAAATGGCTATGGAGGAGGAGGAGGAGGAGGAGGAGGAGGAGGAGGAGGACCACGACTCCTCACCAACGCAAGCAGAGGAGGGAGAGGTCGAGTGGGCAGCTCCCGGACGCACCTGCCCAGACCTCCGATGCGGTGAGCTGTCCACGACGGCGGCCTCGAAGCTCTCGGCCCCACTCCGCGGGCCAGCATTCGGGCCCCCGACGCTGCTTCTGTCGCCCTGGAGCGCGCAGAGAGCGGACCCGTCCAGGCGTGAATGGTCGGCGCCGACCCCTGGCCGGCGCCGCCAGCATTGTCCCGGAGACATCAAGGAGCCATTCGTCGGTTCTGGCCCCTGGGGTCGTTTTTGTTTGGGCTCCGGGGCCCTCCAGAGACGGCTCGGGACGAGAAGCCCCCCCTGGAGAGGAGGCCTCAGGGGGCACACTCATGGCCACGACTGGATTCGCTTCGAAGTTTCGGCCAGAACGCACCCTAAGGAAAGTCGGGGGTCCTCGTCGCTGTCGTCGTACCCAGACCTCCCAGGGTGCTAAGAAATAGCCCTCAGGACTGCTTGAAACCTCTCCGGGACTTCGTGGGTCCTGAATCGAAAGACGAGTCAAGACGTCGGATGTCTGGGCGAGACGGTGAAGCATAATGACAGGAGCGCCCGTCGTGACTGATCTCATGGCCAGCAGTTGTTCTGGCTCGGGTGTTGCTGGAAGTGCCCCCGGCCCAAGGTGCCCCCCCAGGATTGACGGGGTGGCCCAGACGGCCTCCACAGCACCCTGGTCGAGGAGGCCCAGCGGGCGCCAGAGGGAGCGAAAAGCTGGGGGCACTTCTGGCAACATCCGACGAAGGAGTCCCTGCCCCTGCCCTCGCCCTCGCCCGTGCTCCTCCGAGCTGTGGCGGGCCGCCTCGCCCCCCCCCCCCCCCCCTCCCCCCCCCGCGTCTCTCGTTCCTTGCCGTCTGTCTTTCCCTATGCTCACCGAGCGCGTTCTGCTCCTCGCAGGGTGCCCCCCCCCCAGGCGTCAGAGAGCGCACGCGTCTGCCTCGGCGTCGTGGATCGTGAATCCCCAGCGTCGGATCCAGGCCATCTGCGAGTGGTTACTCTGCGAGTACAGTCGGGGCCCTGAAGAAGGAACCCTTTTCGTTGGGGAGGGGCTCCGCGTTCCTTAAGTGTTTCACAGCTTGCCTCAGGTTTTCCTTAGGTTTTCGATAGGAGATCGAAGTTCAACTTGTGGAAAAAAGGGGCCTCGTTCCTTATTTAGGGTTCCTTAGGTCAAGCCCCCGACTGTAGTGTAGCGCGCTTCTCTGTGCGCCCCCTCAGGCCGAGCGCTTGTTCCGTCGTGCATTCGGAGGTCGTGGCGTTGAGGAGGCGATGGGGCGGGGCTCGGGCTCGGCCTGCCGCCGTCGGCTTCCGGCCGGGAGGGGCAGTTTGATAGTAGTGCTCGTCGGGGGCGGCAAAGAGGGGGGTGCTGACTAGGGGGGGGTGGATATCATGGCGGGGGCCATGATGTTTCCCCAGATTTCACGGCGCCTCTTCTTATTTCAAAACGTCCCTAGCCCCCCCGCTGGGCCGCGCAGATGCCGCCGGTCATGATTTGCACCCCCCCTCTTGGACACCCCCCTCTTTGCCGCTCCCGAGTAGTACTCGGGCAGAAGTCCTTCGCTATGCCCACGGAGGTGGCCGTTGTCAGCTGCCGCTATCGATCGCCAGTTGCACGGGGAAGTCTTCCGTCAAATGCTGTAACTCAGTGATGTGCGTTTGATGAGTGCCTTTCCTTGCCGAGCTCCGAGCGTTGTGCATTCCCGACGTCGTTGACGCTGTGGCGATCAAGATCTCCGCCATGTTGCGCGGGAAAACCGCTTCCCTCGGGTCCCTTCTTCCTCCAGTAACTTGGCATTCCGACGCCAGCATCCAGCTTCCGACTCTCCATCTCCACCCCCACCTATCGACTTACAGCGTTTACCAGCTCAGAACTCAGCACTCCGACCTCCAGCGTTCACCAGCTCGCCAAACACGGACAACATGCATTGAGGGCTCTGACCCCGCCGCGTAGGCCCTGAAGGGCCGCGCCCCCGGAGGTACTGTGCGCTCGTCTCGTCTCGTGTCTCTCGCTCTTCCTCCTGGTAACAAGCCATCGGCCCCTTCTCACCCTTGGGGGAAATACCGGTGGTTCAAAGATGGGGTAAGGGTGGATTTGCGTTGTTTGAGGCACTTCGTCCTTAGGACCCCATGCCTCAGGACCCCGTCTTTGCAAAACCGAGAATACCTGTGGACGCATGGGTGGCGAGGCGCCAGGCGCCCCCCTCCCGCCGCTCCGCCTCGTCCTCCCCCGGAGGGAGGGGAGGCAAGAGGAGGTCGGCCGGGCACAGCCTCGAGGGTTCAGCCCTGTGCTGCGTGATCATCTGGCGTGCGCTCCACGCACGCCGGGCGCGGGCCTCCTCTTCGTCGACGGGAGGAATGGTGGAGGAGGGAGGAGGGAGGAGGGAGGAGCAGGAGGGAGGAGCAGGAGGAGCAGGAGGAGGGAGAGGGAGGATGGATGGACGGATGGATGGACGGACGGATGGATGGATGGATGGATGGATGTGACGATTCTGATGATGATGATGGTGGTGATGGTGATGGTGATCGTGATGGTGATGCTGGTGGTGGTGGTGTCGGTGTTGGTGATGGGATGGATGTGTTGAAGCTTGTGTTGGTGATGATGAGGCTGATGCTGCTGCTGCTGCTTGATTGACTGTTCCATCGATTGATTTATGTATTGACGGACTGCTTGCTTGCTTTCTTTATTGATTTCTTTATTGATTGATTTATTGATTGATTGACTCATTGCTTGATTGATTGATGTATTGATCGACGCTGCTGCGGCTGCTGATGCTGTTGCTGCTGCTGCTGATGATGACGCTGCTGCTGATGATGATGCTGATGCTGATGATGATTATGATGACGATGATGATGATGATGAGAAGGATGCTGCTGATAATGATGATGACGACAGGATGATGACGACGACGGTAATTATGATGATGCTGATGATGATGATGATGATGATGATGATGATGCTGATGCTGATGCTGATGACGATGATGACGATGATGATGATGCTGATACTGATGATGATGATTGAGATGATGATGATGCTGATGAGGATGATGATGATGAGGATGATGATGTTGGTGGTGGTGGCGATGATGATGATGATGATGATGATGATGATGATGATGATCATCATGATGATGATGATGATGATGATGATGCTGATGATGATGATGATGATGATGATGATCATGATGATGATGATGATGATGATGCTGATGATGATGATGATGATGATGATGATGATGATGATGATGATGATGATGATGATGATGATGATGATGATGATGATGATGATGATGATGATGATGATGATGATGATGATGATGATGATGATGATGATGATGATGATGATGATGATGGCGATGGTGTGAGCGAACAGCCGAGGCACGAATGCTGTTCGCGGGCACAGCAGCGAGGCTGCGCTGCGCGTGCGTCCGCGCGCCACGCAGCGAGCGAATGAGCTTGCGAGAGGCGCATCGCCGCGAGGCGAACAGCACGCGAAACGCGAGAAAGATGGAGCCGCGGCTTTGTCGGCTGCGCCGCGGCTAGGCCGCCGCGGAGGGAGCGAACGCGAGCGTTCACCGCGGCGCCGGCCAGCCTTGCCGCGCACAGGTGAAATCATAATTTGACCGCGGCAGGCGGGGCGCCATCTCTGGCCTGGGCGCGTTTCGCCTGCCGCGTGTCTCGGTCCTGCCCGCGGCTTCGGCCCCGGGCGCGTCGGCCTGGCCCCCTCCCTGTCGCTTCGCTTCGCCTTCGCCGCGGCCCGTCTTGCTTTCGCCGCGTGGCCCGTTTTCGGCCCGTGTGTTGGCCCTGCGGTGTCCTGGTTTGTTCCCGCCGTCGGGCCCCTCGCTCGGCCCCTCGTCCCCGTGGCCCGCCGCCTTTGTCTGCCCTGTCCCCGCTTGCCCGTGGCCCGGCCCCGTCGCTCTCCCGCCCGCGTCGCCGCGCGCCGGCTGGTCGCCCGCCCTCCGCTTCGCCCGCCGCGCGCGCAGGTTCCACCTCCTCTCCCCCGCGCGCGCAGGATTTGCGGCCCCGCCGAGGTGGGCGGGCCGCGCTGATTCGCCTTTCCTGGTTCGCCCTTCGCCCGCCTCTCCCCCGTTGTGGGGTTGCGGACTCGTTTCCCTGCTCGCTCGCGGTCCCGTGTCCCGGCCCCTTTGGGGCCGCCCGCTCTCGGCTGGGCCGCCTCGCTCGGTTCGGCGGCTCTCGGGCGCGTTGCCTGCGGGCGCGCTGCGTCGCGGCCTGGTCCCCTCCGTGGGGTGGCGGACCCGGTGGGTGCGCTCGGGCCGGCGGTCGGTTGGCCGGTCGCTGCTTCGCTGCCGCGTCGTCGCGTCGTTGTCGGTTCGTCGTGCCGCCGCCGCCGCGTCGTCGCCCGCTGTCGCCGCCGCTGCGGGCCGGTCGGTCGGCGGCGCTCCTGGGCCCGCGCTGCCGCGCTTTCCGGCCCGGGTGTTCTGGGGGTCCCCGGCCCGGTGTCCCTCCCCGGTTCTGGGCGCTCCTGGTCCTTCCTCGGGCGCGGTGCTCCGCTCCCTCGTCGCCTCTGCTGGTCGCGGCTCGGCTTGCGGCGGGCGCGCTGGGTCCCGGGTCGGCGCCCCGTCCGCCCCTCGTCGTTTTGCCGTGGCTCGAAAGTTTCTTTTGGCCCATGGTCGGGCCTCTGCGCTACTATGCGCAAGGGTATCGCGGACCCGCGGTAGGAGACCTGGGACGTTGTGGCGCCCAGGCACCCTTCCACGGGATCCGCGGTTCCCCTTCCCCGCGCCCACGCCCGCACTGGCGGGCAGGTGGATCGCGGGGATCCCGGCCGGTCTGGCTGTCGTCTCGACCGGTCGGCGTGGTGCGTGCCCAATAGCCGGCGCACGCGCGCCCGAGGCTACGCCCGTCCGCGCGCCCCGTCGCCTTTTGGCCGGCGCGATCACTGGACGCGTGCGGTCGGCCCACTGGGGCCCTCGGGGAGCGGTGCGACGGCCCACTGGGGCCCGCGTCGCAGTATTCGCGGCTCCCGGCGACGCGTCGACGCCACCCCCAGTTCCGCCGGCATGGTCAATTGACGTGCTTGGTCGGCCCAGTGGGGCCCCACTGGGAGGTTGTCGCTCAGGCCCACTGGGGCACTGATGCGATTGTCTGGCGACGGCGCATTGAGGCCCGCACCGTGCCGAGGTGCTCGTTTCGGCTCCGGTGGCGCAGTGCGTCCTCCGCCCCTGCGCTGGGTCTGCTTGCCGGCTCAGGAGAGCGGGTCAACGGGGCCCGCGGTGCATTGGTCGCTCAGGCCCAATGGGGCCCTGCTGCGGCTTCTGGCAACGGCCCACTGGGGCCCGCGCCGCGCCTGCCGGCCTCGGATGGCCATGGAGCGTGCCCGCGCCCTGCCACAGCCCGGCACCCTCATGAGGGGTAGAGGACTCGCCAGTTGCAGCCCGGTCGGTCCGTCGGCGGTCGGCCTTGGATTCCCAGTCAACCGGCGGTGCGGCTACCGTTCGCGCTTCCCTTTCCGTCCCAGCGCGCGCCTAGCCGTGGCAGCGCAGCCCGCATCACGTCTCGCCTTGAATCGCGACGGGCGCTGAGGGCGAGATGATCGCCGAGCTCGCAGTGCTTCTTTTCGCAGCTGCCGGCTTCGCCCACGGGGTCGGGCTCGCCGCGCGGACCAGCTGGAACTGGCTGCGCGGGGTACAGCGCGACCGCCGCATGGCGCGCATGCGGGCGGCCCCAGACGCAGGGCGCAGCGAAGTGCCTCCCCTCTTGTGGAGATGCTCCGCGTTGCCTTGGGGGGCGGAGGCCGCGGTGAACCTCCCCTGGCGCGCCGACAGACTCGGGGCTCCGCAGGCGCGCCGCGCGCGCCGCGGGGAGAGGCTCCGACCCGCGCGCGCGTTCGACCCTCTTTGCAGGTTTGCAACGACTGCACGTGCGGGAAGGGGATGAGCCACCCTTGGATGGAGCGTCTGCACGCCTCATTGGCGCATGTGAGATACTCGGTCTGGAGGCCCCTCCGCTGCGGTCGCGCCACAGGTCGCCTCGCTCGGCGCCGCGCGAAGGACGGATGGACGCCCAGACAGGTGCGTCTCGACGTCGGCCTCACCTTGCGTGGCCTTGTGCCGGCGCTTCGCCGCGTTCCCCCCGCCCGTGCGCGCGCGACGCTCCGCGACGGATGTCAGGGCCGTGGACCTGACGACGCAGGGGGTCGCCCCGTACGTGCATTGCTTCCGGCCGACGAAACCGGGAGCGGTAGCCTTCGATTGCCGATTCTTTCGCAACGAATGCAGCGCGAAGGGGTTCCATTTCTCAGCAGG